GATATACTTAATGACCTGTTGGTGCCTGGCCACCTTCTAGGTCATTAGGTAGTTAGCCAGCTGCAAGATTCTCTGCTCTTTGGTCATGTGCCACACTTGATTGAGTGGGGTCATGTGGTTTCTATAAAACGCGTGAGAATTGGCATAGCAGGCACTCAACATTATCCATTCTCCTCCATTAGGATATAACAATTGATTCACTTTAAACTTCCTAATGACAGTTATTAAACTGGATTTTCCCAAAACCAGTCAGCTTAATATTTATAGGTTTAAGATTTAAATGAATTATTTATCTCATTCCTGAAATATTGGGATTTTTTTCCCTCCTAATTTCATTCTTAGACGAATTTCATCTTAGTCACAAAGCAAAGGACAGTCTTCACCACCTTTTAGCCACAATTTAAAATAAACCCATGGTACTGATTGTTAGTCCAAGAGAGCCCATCTGTTAGAGACTATGAAGAGAGGAAAAAATTCAAATGTTTCCATTCTTGTTAGCATCTCTAAATTTGGAGGAAGAAGAGGTTGAAGCTATGAGCTAAAATTCAATTTTTGGATTATTAGCCTCACCTGGGTTTGAATCCTGGCTTTCGCATTTACTAGATGATAGATGAGTACTTTTTCTAAGCTTCAGTTTACTTACGGACGTATAAAACTGAGATTGTGGTTATTTGCCACCTGTGATTCTTAGAATTAAATGATAGCATACATGTAAAGCAGTTAGCAAAGTGGCACATAAGAAGTGCTTGATAAATATTAACTTCCATTATCTCTAGATCATTAAATCTTATTGATAATAAGGGCTACCCTAGTCCAACAATAAGCTCTTAGTGCTAATGAAAACTAACATTTTTTGGTACATGAGCTGAGACCTAATTATTGAGCCCTGTTCACTCATGCTAGTACTAACTGGGTATACAAGAGACGGTAGTGCTACATGATTCTTACTTTCTAGTCTCAACTATGAAATGTCAGTCTCAGAAAAATTTTTAAGGAAACTCAGCCCTATAAATAGTTTTATATTTTTGGAATTCTGGCCTGGCATTAGCTTTGTGACCTTGGGCAAATATAACTTTTCTGTGCCTCAGTTTCTTTACCATTTTTTATAGTTTTGTCTGTAAAATGAGGGAAATACCTTATAGGATTGTCATGAAGAATAAATGTGTTGTTACATGTAAAGAACATAAGATAGTGCCTGAAATGTGGCAAGTGGTACGTAAATTGCTACTGCTGGATTTTGATTGACTCCTAGCAGTTGAGTATTTGAATATTAGGCTCGTTGGGCCTAATTGGCTATTCTTCCTTCTCTTCTTTTAAAATGAATAGAAAACTTTGTAGAAGGTTTATAGCATATCTTTAGTCTCCATTGCCAGGGCAATTTTATAGAATCCAGGTGATGAGATGAGAGAGCTGAAAAGCAGATAATTTCATGGTTCTATTTTGATGGACACAAGATTTCCATATATCGCCAGCCCTCCTTTGGTGATGCTTTGGCAGGAAAAGTGTATCTTGAAATTTTTACAAAGCTGATTCTCCCCATCCCACCCCTACTGAGATGTCCCTTTTTGGGGGGCTAAAGGGAGTGGAGTGCTAGCGATATGAAAGTAGGGTATTAGAAAAGCAATTCTATGTCCACACATGGTGGCTCACGCCTTGTAATCCTAGCACTCTGGGAGGCGAGGCAGGAGGATCACTTGAGGTCAGGAGTTTGAGACCAGCCTGAGCAAGAG